AGAGATTCATCCTGGAAGTAAGGAGGAACTTTCTGACAGTGAGAACAATCAACCCATGCAACAGAAGTTGCCTTCGGAAGTTGTGGGAGCTTCATCACTTGAGACTTTCAAGAAGAGATTGGACTGCCATTTATTTGTCAGAAATGGTGTAAGGTCTCCTGCTTGAGCGGGGAGTTTGGACTAGGTGACCTATGAGGTCCCTTCCAACTCTGTTAATCTGTTATCTGTTATAAACAAAGAAGGGTAGTTTTGGAGGTTATCTCAAGACAAAGAGAAGATTAGAAGAGCCTCTCTCTGCAGTGGCAGTTTGTGGAAAGTTTTGCACAGGTTTTGCCAGTTCCCCTGCCATGTTGTTGACGGCAGCAGTTGAAAAACAAGGACGGACTGTAATGCAATATTTGCATGTTCGGAGGGTGTGCGAGGCTGTGGGTTTCATCACACAGGGCTGACCAGCCCCGGCGTGTGAGAAAAGCTAAGTGTTCTGGCCTTCACCTTCAGTCAAAGTGATCAAGGAAAGGAGTTGCACAAATGAAAAGGGCCTGTTATCTCCAAGGTGGTTCGTGGCTTGTCTGTTTCAATATTTCCATGTTGCTTACCACAATTCCAAGTGTTTTTGCCTTGTGTTCCTCTCCAGGTACACTTCAAAGGGACCAGCAGTCTATGCTATTTTCTTGGTGTGGCCAAAAGACAGTGTGCTGACTCTTTCATCACCTGTTGTGTCTGCAAGTACTCAAGTAAGCAACATGAAAAATAAAGCCGATTTGGAAATAACCTAGAGTAGCACATTGTGATGTTTTGGGAAATCTTAATTTGTTTTGTAAACTAGGTTAATTTCTTTTCCACAACAACACAGAAGTGTCCCATAACAATAAATTATGCACAGAGGAAAGCCAAATCTGCAGGGTATCTAAAACAAGGTTAATACCATCAAAATACCCCCAAACCCAACATTCTCCCCAACCAAAACAGTTGCTGATAAATGCAAATAATTTCCCCCCAAAAAAGCAGAACATAAAACTTTGGTTTTAACCAATGAATACCACACTTCAAAAATAATTTTGAGAAAATACTTTGCGACATGAATACAACACCTATCTGCAACTGTTTAATGCATCGCACTGAAGATGTTACCTAATTGGATAATGAAATGTCTGCAACAAAACAAATAGCAATAGCACTTAGATTTATATACCACTTTACAGTGCTCTACAGCCCTCTCTAAGCAGTTTAAAGAGTCTGCATATTGCCCCCAATAATTTTGAATCCTCATTTTACTGACCTTGAAAGGATGGAAGGCTGAGTCAACTTTGAGCCTGGTGGGATTTGTACTGCCAAATTGCAGACACTGGCAGTCAGCAGAAGTAGCCTGCAGTACTGCACTCTAACCACTGCGCCGCCACAGCTCAAGTACGTTTAGAGAACACTCGGGACCGCAGAGTTCAAGCCTGAGCTACAAATATTCTATTGCTCCTTTTTGAATCAGTTGCAACTTTTTCCAGAATCGTATGGCTGCTTTCCACAGTTGCTGTGTCACCCTGGGAAAAGATGCAGCTGCTTTCAAGCATTGCAGATATTGGCAATTTGGGGCATTACATGCTCTGAAGCCCTTTGGGGTGTTCAATCCAAAGCATCGCGTGACTCTTTTCACCAGGAAAAAGATGATGTGATTACTGAATGGACAGGAAGTTTATTTTGCCATTTAAAATAACTCTGTTGAGACAGCATTCCACAATTATCATTTTCCTGGCTTTCAGCTAGCCAAGAAACCTAGTACAGGCAACTTACATTACTTCTTTTAGTGACCGTTCAACAGCACCC